TGTCCGCGTGGGACCCTGAGCGGAGGGCGCAGCCACACCGGCCCCCCACTGAGCTGCACAATGAGGCGGCACAGCTCTGGGGTCTGAATCTGCTACATTTGTGGCCATCGGTGGCGCGGTGGCAGGAAATCGATCCGGAGCAACTGCTCTGTGGCTCTCCGTGCCTACGCCGCGCGCACGCAGGCCCACGCGCTTTTGAGTCTTTCGTCGTCAAGAAAGCTTGGCGCTGCTGCCCCCGCGTGTGTCTGTGCCCAGTGACACTTGGTCACCATCCGCGGGGCGGGAGCTGGCTCGGCCAGTGCCAGGAACGCCCAGGGTCCCCTGCAGGTGCCGTCTGATGCTGGGAGTTCCGCGGCCACCCCGTGCAGCGCCCCGAGCAGGCGGCGCCCCGGCTCTGAGTGCCAGGCCACCACATGGTCTGCAGGGAGTGGACAGGTCTGCGCTCCTGAGCCAGCGTGGCCCGCACCCTGTGGGCTCCTCCAAAGCGCAGGGAAGCAGTTGGGCCGACATCCTGCTGGGGCCTGTGTGCCCGCCAGGCTGGGGGTGGGAGCCCGCCCCCGGCCCGGTCCGGTCTCCTGGGCTCGCCGCTCGAGGCTGCTGCCCCCTTCGGCGGTCGGCGGGGCCCCAGACCCCCCGGAGGCAGCGGCAGAGCTAGGACAGGGAAGCGCGTGGGGGGGAGACTAAATGGCAGCTCTTACAGGAAACAGTTCTCTGCGGCGGGGGGTCGGGCGGGGGAGGAAACCGTGGCACGCAGACGGGGCTGTGGGTGCCGTTCCCCACCACGCTGCGGGGAGCTGAGCAAACTGGGTCCACCTGGCTGTCCGGCCCAGCCGGGAGAAGCAGCTCTCGGGCGTGCGGAGGCGTGAGCACAGCAACCAGCCGCCGCTGGGCCGTGGGGACTCCCACCGACTGACCGCCCCTGCGGCCTGACTGCGTTTGTCTGCCACCCGGGCTTGATCTGTTCTCTTATCACTTTGCCCCCCGCCAACGGGAGCCATCAGGCTGTGCTCGCTCCTCGGAGCCAGGCACACAGAGAGCGGGAGCCCGGCAAATGCCAGTGGGCTGGAGAGGTGGATGGGGGCGGGTAGTGGGTGAACAGAGAGAGAGAGTTGGATGGACGGGTGGGTGGGTGGAGGGATGGCGGGAGGGGTGGATGGGCAGTGAAGGAGGCAGGCAGCGCCCCACAGGTGGGTGTCGGGGGCGGGGCGCAGGGCAGAGCGAACTTTATTTCAGGGAGACCTTCCCTGCCTGCAGAGAGAATGCCCGCCCTTTACAAAGAGGGGACCTGCTGCTCCCCCCGGGACCCGGAGAGCTGTTTCCTCCGGTCGCGCATGCACAAGGAAGCAGAGTGGCCTTTGGAAGCTGATTAACAGGGCAAGAGTCTGTCTTTTCAAAAATAGATTCAGCCCTTGTCAGCGTCCTTGAAACTGACGAGAGAGCTGAGGCGATCAGCGGCCAGGCACAGCGCCCGCGGCTGCCGCAGCCCCGTCCTGCGGCATTTGAAGCGGTCCCTGTCCCGGGGCTCCACGAGGCCCGAGGAGGAGCGAACGCAGCGGGACGCGTGCGCGGCACCCACCCGCCTCCCACGGGGGGGGTGACAGCCGTCATCTGTTAAAACGGAGTGGACAGGGCAGGGCGGCAACAGGGCAGAGGCCATGCTGGGTTGGCTCTGAGTCCCCTGGGGGGAGCGGGGCGGGGGGTGTTCAAGCCGACATCAATGAAGTGCCAGCCTCTGGAGACCGAGGGGGCCGGGCCACACCGAGCCGGAAGCTGCAACTGGGTCCCCATCGCTGTGGCCGCGTGGCCTGCACAGCCACCCCCCGAGAGCTGCTCTCCCACTGAGGACAGCGCACCCGGCCCCCAGTGAGGCCCCTCGCCGGGCAGGCTCCTGCCCCTCGCCCCCTGCAGGGACGCCCCGCCGGAGGAAGGGCTCCCTGCAAACCAGCCCGCAGGCTCCCTGGGGCCCGCGGGGCGGGGGGCGGGCAGCGCGGCTGGGTCAGTGCGTGACAGCAGGGAAAAATGAGTGGTACCCAGGGGACCCCCACTCTCAAGGGAGACAAGAGAGCGGGGGGGCGCCTGGGTAGAGTGCAAAGCCTGGCACTCCACTAGGCACAGTGAGCCAGTTATGCAGCGGTCCTGTGCCTCGGTTTCCCCAAGGCGAAGGGAATAATAATGACCCTCCTCTCGGCTTGGCCCCTGCAGTCACAGGCGAGGCAATCAGGTCTCGCAGTCACCGTTCGCCTGCTGGACAAAGGTCCTTCCCGCAGGCCCAGCCCTAACGTTAGAGGCCATGCATCCCACAGCAGGCCGGCCTCCCCCAAGAAACTGGATAATAAAAAGACCACCAAAAGCGGCTCAGCCCACCCCTCCCCTGCCCCCTGGGAGACAACTCCAGAGTCGCCGTGAAGGCAGCTGGGCGGCATCTCGCCCTGTGCCCCTACCGCTGGCTGGCTTGGCAGGGCCGGGACTGCGTGCGTGTGCTGACATACGTGTGCCCACACGGACCCATGTGCCGCAGCTGGTGTGGGGGCTGCAGGCAAGGCCAGAACCTGCGCCTGGTCCTCTCCTTGGCCCGTCCCAAGCCCCCAGGACACGCGGTGCCCACGTGGACGCGATCCCAGCACAGCGTGGCTTTTCACGGCAGAAGCGCATCCATCGACACAGCAGGTGGCGAAGTCGATTCATGTGCGCCCTTCCCCGAGGGTCTTCTGCACCCACAAAAATCATCCCAGGGCAGCCAGGGCCTGAGGTCACCCCTGGCCCATCACAGCTGGGTCACTCGCTTCCTCTGCAAATCCCAGGGCCACCTGTGCCTCACTCACACGGCTCACCCCAGTGAGAGGCAGGCAGGACACTGCCCGCCTCCCAGGCCCCGTGTCTCGGGACAAATCAAGCTGCCGACCAGGAGGTAATCCGGCAAATCTAGGAGTAGGGTCGTCAGATGGAATGCAGGGTGCCCAGTTAGATCTAACTTTAGAGTAATTTTTGACAGAAGCATATCCTATGACATATCTGGGACTGCAAAGTTATTCATTGCTTATTTGAAATTCAAATTTAACTGATGTTAAAGCTGGCAACCCCAGAGAGAAGCTGACCCCCCACACCGGTCGGGGTGGCCAGCAGCTGAGCCCAGCATCCCGGGGCTCCCCACGTCCCCTGGGCGCGGCCTAGCCTTGCAGGGGCTGTGGCAAGAGCCGTAACAGGACCAGGACAGGGGGCTGTGAGGATCCGTGGAGCTGGCTGCACGGCGGCGTTCCCCCTGCGGGTCAGACGTCCCCAAGGCCATCACAGTGATCCCGCGTATGTCCCTTCTAAAGAACTGGACTTCCTTTTCAAATGCCACGACCGGTAGCCTCTGGGTGAGCCGGGTTGCCAGGGAACAAGCCTGCCTTTGGTTCCTGCAGGTCCGTTTCTGAGCAGCCTTAGTTTGGGTCCAGTGGGCGGGAGACGCCCCCTGGAGGTGGGTGTGTGGACTGCAGGTCCCAGCTGGTGCCGGAGCAGAAATCTTGTCGCCCTAGCTGGTGGTGCCTGGTGGGTCCCCAGGCGCCTGGGAGAGGTTTTCCACTGGGAAAAGGCAAGGATGGGGTGAAAGTGGCCGAGGAGCAGGGACCCGAGGGCGTCCAGGCGCAGTAAGGAGACTAACAACAGAGAGGGCCGCCCTCCGCGGAGCACTGGCAGCGTGAGGAGCCTGGGGTACGTGGCCGAGCTTCACTCCGCCCTTGCAGCCTCCGCTGAGCCAAGTCCCCCTCTGGGTCAGGGCAGAGCACAGGCCCGTCAGAACGCCCAGCCACCTCGGGCTACCATGACAGCTAGTGGCCCTGCACCACTGCAGTATCCTCTCTGGGCCGCCTGTACCCCCGGAATTGAGGGGGCTGGCATCACCGGCAGCCCCCCCGCACAGATGGGAGGTGGAGATTCGGGCCCCAGGCAGTTGACTCCGCTTTGCGTGCACCTGGCCGTCCCAGCAGGAGAGGCTGACCAGCGCCTGCGCCGGCCAGGCAGCAGCGCTCAGCTGTGTGGCTCCAGCTGTTTACTTTGCAGCCCGGCTGTGTGCGGGGCAACGAGCAGACGCTGGCGGGACAGCCCACCCGCACAATGCCCCTGGGGATGCGCCCTGCTAGGTCCCATGCACGGAGAGGAAACTGAGGCCTAAAGGGGTTCCGCGCCTTGCCGACTCACACTGCTTTCGGGCCGCGGAGATGCGCACCCTGAGCCCGAGTCTACACCCGGGGGAAGGCGAACCACTCGCAGGGCCAAGCTAGGGGACCGCGGGGGGCGTGGCCCCGCGGGGGTGGGCGGAGCGGGGAGGGACCGGAGGCTGGGCGGCCGTGATTGGATGCGGCTTGGAGCTCGTCACTGGGCTGCCTCCTAGTCGGCGGCCCTGCCTTGGCCCCGCCCCACCGCGCGCCGGGCGTAGACCTGCCGGGAACCTCCGTCTGGCCCCGCCCCGGCCCTGCCCCGGCCACGCCCCGCTGAGGACTGCAGTTAAACCGCGCGGGGCCCTGCCTGCGCCGCAGCCCAGCTTAACCTCCCAGGGGATCCCCAGTAGGTCGCCCGGAGGCCCGCGGTCCCGGCGTCTGGACCCGGGTCCTGCCCCGGTGCGCAGGAGCCCCTCTGCGGAGCGCTCAGGCCAGAAGTTAGCGAGAGGCCGACGAAGACCTTTAACGCACACAGTCGCAGAATTGACTGCGGCTTGTGCTTGCTCTTCTGAATCGGTTTACTGACGTGTAACGTGCAATTCCGCCACTTATATCCAAGGGGGGTTTACCCAGAGTGGTGCAGCGATCGCCACGACCTAATTCAGAGAGTCTCCATCCCCCTCCCCACAGCTGCTCCACTTCCGGAGGTCCGCGGGATCTGACCGCGCTGCGCTGCGAAGCGGACCGCCAGGGGGCGCTGCGGGCGCGCTCCGGGACCGACCCTCAGCTGCGCCTGCGCCGGCGCCGCGCGCGAACCCGAGCGCAAGCCCGCCGAGCGCGCTCCCCCGCGACTGCGCCTGCGCGGAGCCCGTGGCCCCGCCGCTCCCGCCGGGGGCTCGTCGCTGGGCGGCTGGGCCATGGGGGAGGCCGAGGTGGGCGGCGGGGGCGCGGCGGGCGACAAGGGGCCGGGGGAGGCGGCCACCAGCCCAGCAGAGGAGACAGTGGTTTGGAGCCCCGAGGTGGAGGTGTGCCTGTTCCACGCCATGCTGGGCCACAAACCCGTCGGTGAGCGGAGCGCCGCGGACCCGCGTGGGGGCGGGGCGAGCTGGCAACGGCCGGGAGCGCGCGGCCGGGGCGCGCGGCCGAGCGGAGGCCTCCTACACTGCATCCCGCCGACCCTGCACCATCTGCACCCCGCACCCTGCCTCCACGTGCACCTGCCCCCTCTGCACCCCCGCCCCCTGCCACCGCATGCACCTGCCCCCTCTGCACCCCCACCCTCTGCCACCGCCATCCCCACCTCCGCCCCCTCTTTACCACTTACCCACCGACGCCTGCCTCATTCTCCCCTCACCTTTGCCCCCCCACACCCCACGGACTCCTGACCCCTTTTGCACCCCCTCAACAGATCCCTTCCTCCCGCAGGTGTGAACCGGCACTTCCACATGATCTGTATCAGGGACAAGTTCAGCCAGAACATCGGCCGGCAGGTGCCATCCAAAGTTATCTGGGACCACCTGAGCACCATGTATGACATGCAGGCGCTGGTGAGCTGGACCCCGCCCTCCCCGGGCCCCAGACCAGTTGGCAGCAGTGTCCCCCCTGTGCCTCCTCCAGTCAGTGCAGGTCCCGCCCTCTGAGAACCTGCCATCCCCGTGGGGCCAGTCACAAAACGAGGTAGCTCCGGACGGGTTTCCAGAAGGCACAGAGCTACTGATGGCAGCAGGTCACTCGTGCTGAACCTGCCTAAGGCGGCCAGGGAAGGTCTCTCCGGGGAGGTAACCCAGGAGCCCAGGCTGGAGCAAGGGGGCCCTTGCGCCACCATCGTTCTTACGGGGGAAGCCCCAGAGTGCTCTAGGCAGGCAGGTGACTGTGTCCCCATCAGGCTAAGGTGAACGGGATGCCCACGAGAGCCTGGCAGGCGGGGCCCCAGGTTTCATGGGCTTGCCAGCCCTGACTCCCAGGTTTCTCAGCCACTGAGCTGTGAGGGCCCTCTGAGCGTGAGACAGCCCTTGCCGCTCTGCCCCTGCAGGCAAGTGCCACGAACCCAGCGTTCCTCCCCTCCTGGGGTCTGTTGGCTGCGCCCGCAGGGGAACACAGGAGGGAGCCATCCTCGCCCCTCCGAGTCCACCGTGGCAACCCTGGGGCAGCTCTGAGGGTGCTCCCGAGCCGGATCTCATACACGTGGAGTCACTTGCTAAAGTCACGCTTTTTTCTTAAAATAATAAAACTCTCTCTTGGCCACCAGCACGAGTCTGAGATTCTTCCTTTTCCGAATCCAGAGAGGAACTTCGTCCTTCCGGAAGAGATCATTCAGGAAGTCCGTGAAGGTGAGACTCGGGCGAGTTCGGGGTAGGGGTTAGGAAAGGCCCGCGGAGCGGGGCTGGGGGTGGTGGTGTTGGGGTGAGGTCATGAGGGTCAGGGAGGAGCGGCAGTCGCAGGCCTGTGATGCTCAGCCCACCGGGATGGGAGACATGTGTTCAGGAACAGGCAGCAGCTGGCAGCGGCCGGGGCCGACGTGTGCTGCCCGCATGGGTAGCAGGCCCGGCCTGGGCCGCCCGCCGGCGTGGGCTTCCAGTAAATGCCCACTGTCTCTCCCCCACAGGAAAAGTGGTCATTGAAGAGGAAATGAAGGAGGAAATGAAGGAAGACATGGACCCCCATAATGGGTCCGATGACGGTAAGTGTGGAGCTCGCCCCGTCCCTCGGCTGGGGCCCCGGGGGACGCAGCACCCCGCCCCGGCAGGGCCTCCCCGCAGGGCGCCACGCAGGCCCCCGCCTGCATCTCAGCCCGCTGCAGCCACAGCCGCTCTGTCTGGTCCAGCAGCTGAGAGGCAGCTTCCCTCTGCTCGGGCAGGAGCCTCACCGGGCGTGGACGTCGTGCGCGCGGCCAACACCACGAACGGACCACGGGGCAGCCTCGGGCACCGGGCGGGCCCAGTCAGGTGGACCCAGTGTGCAGTGCCGGAGGTCTCAGTGCAGGACAGACCCTGAGTAGCAAAGCCGGCTCCACCTTGCGGGACAGGCGTGAGTGGCGGCCGGGGCGGGTCCTGCAGCCGAGCGCGCGGTGCCCGAGGCCCCCGCGGCGGGCACGCTCTCAGAAGGACCAGGCGCTCTGCGGGCCGGGCGGGCGCCCCCAGCTCAGGAGCCGCTCGGGGGTTCAGAGCGTCATACGTGTAGATGGAGAATTTTTAACGGAACAGGAAGATGAAATAAAACTCTGGATATTCTGTTTTCAGCCAAATGATTTTGTCTCCCAGTTTTTTCATCTTCAGGAAGCTTGGGGAAAGCAGCCGAAAAGTCCGGCAAAGACAGAGACAAGAACTCCTCAGACTTGGGGGCCAAGGAAGGGGCGGACAAGCGCAAGCGCAGCCGAGCCGCCGACAAGGTCCTGACGGCCAACAGCAACCCCTCCAGCCCCAGCGCCGCCAAGCGGCGCCGCACATAGGCACCCGCGAGGAGGGCCGCGGCCGTGGGCGCCAGGCCGTCGCGGTCAGGGGTCCGGCCCCTGCTGTCAGCCAGGACCAGGGGCTCTGCGGCGCCCACTCACTGCCTGGAGCTGGACGGCCCAAGAAGCCAGGACCGCCGGCTCAGGCTGAGGGCGCGCCCTGTGGCCGGCTCAGCGGCTCACTGCCTCGGCGGCACCCGAGCCACCGCCTGCGTGGGACGCCTGGCGCAAGGAGCAATAAAGCCCACCATCCCCGCCCTGCTGGAAGCACCAGCTTCCCGTCGGCCTGTCCGTCTGTCCACCTGTCCGCCCGCCGCTCTTCGCTCTTGCTCAAGCGACTGTGACCTCCAGAGAAAGGCCACCAAGCCACAGACGGCGGCCCCTCCGTGCTGAGAAACTGAGAACTGGATATTTGGCCTCATTCACTTGTACTGTAACGATGTATATAATTTGGTTGATATTTCACTATTTAATTTCTAAGAAGCCTATTTTACTAGTGTTTTATATGAAAAAAGCACTGCAGAAGTTAAAAACCTGTGTTGTATTTTTTCCGAGATGTTTTGTTTTAAGGTAATGACCGCTGAGATACTTTTGGCTCAGTTTTTATATGCCAGACACAGAGAATTTGTGGTTATTTTTGTATTACCGAGTAACTCGCAAACAGACCAAACGCGTGAGTGGAGGGCGGCCCGATGGGGCTGTCGGCTGGGCCAGGGACTACGCAGCATTAAAGCGCAGAAAGCCACCTGGACTTGTGTGATTTTCATACCAAAGTCAGTCACCTTTTGCTACAGTGGGAAGCTTTTATTTTTCCAAGATTGCTAACTGAAACGTACACTCAGATGTACCTGACTCACTCGATACAATGTAGGTACAGACTGGTGACGGCCGGCGGGGAGACAGGCCCTCGGATCCAGGCCGGGAGACCGAATGAGGCCAGCGGCACCTCCTTCCCGCCGGACAGCTGCGTGTGCCCGGGGCCGCGCCTGCGCAGGCCTGCCGAGCGAACCGAGGCTGGCGCGCCCCCTCCTGGCCCGCCGCCGTGCGACCTCCTCATTGGGACCAGCGGGAGGACATCGCATTCCTGTCCCCTGCCCAGCGTCCGGGCCAAGGCGGGCCAGCACCCACCCGCTCACATCAGGGCCTTGAAGACATCGCCAGCCCCACTGCCCCAGCAGGCCGATGGCACTCGGCACAGCGTCGTGGGCCAGGGCCTGCCAACCCTGAGCGGCGGGTCTCGGTGTCCGCCCCGCACAGGAACCCGCAGCTGAAGCCTGCCGTCCGGGCTTGGGGCCCTGTGGGGCGTGTCTCCAGGGGAAGACACCCCCACCCCCCGTCAGGTCAGAGCACCCTGTTGCTGGGAGCAGGAATCCAACGCAGCCCCTCCCCGCACGCCTGCCACTGGCCTTCCCCTTCTGAGGTGAGGTCCCATGAGGTCCACGTCCAAGCACAGGACACACCACGCGCCCCCAGCTGCCCAGACACACGGGGTCTGTCGCCGTCCCTTGCAGCAGAGCGGTGATGGCCCGTCAAGGCAGGAGAGCAGCGAGCGGCCTGCCTTCCTGAGAGTTCTAGAACCGACAAGGGGAGGACACATGCCCCTGCCTGCCTCTCACTCGCTGTGTCCACTACCCTCACGCAGTGCCCACTCTGCCGGGTCCCGGAATCAAGGCACATGAGAGAGACCTGGCCCTGGGAGAGCCCGCCCACAGCACACAGCCCTGGGGGGCACACAGGGTGGCTCCCTCCACCAGGCTCCCTGGGAGATCATGTCCGGGGACCTGGGGACCTGCTGGAAAAGCCTAGTTAATAAACCAAACCTGCCTCGTTTCTGTTGTTCAGCATCTTACAGGACTTGCAGGAGGGCAGGAGGGCGGCAGGGGAGCAGGCGCCCCGCCCCGCAGGCCTCCCGGGATCCTCGGCTGCATGGGGTCTGTGCAGGTCACACGTGCCACGGGGTGTCTGCAGCCTAAGGGGCCAACCTGTGATGCAGGGGTCTTGGGTGTGCCCACCACGTCACGGGCACACTGTGTCTGAACAAGGACACAGGACACGGAGTGAGTTTGGGACTGGGGTGGAGGGTGGGGCCTAGAGACTCCAGCACACACACCCAAAGCTGCAGAACAGAAAAAAGAAACGCAGTCTGCGTGCAACTGAGACTGGAAACCGCGCGCGTGTCTGTGCCAAGGACGCAGGGGCCTGACACCCGCCTGCACTGTGGGGGGCGGGGGGAGCTGGGAGGGTGTAGTCTCAGCGCTCCCTGCTCTGACCCGGCCGCCCGAGGGGGGTCTGGAGGGACTCCTGAGAACTGTCGAGCGTACGCTGCGTGGCAGCGGTGTGCAGCCGGCCCCCCACCTGGCTGGTGCAGTGGGGATGGGCAGACTTTGGCCGAATAACGTGGCCACCGCTAGTTCTGCCTGAGGAAAGCGTTAGGGCAGGTCTGACCTGAGCCGCCTCAGCCAGAGCCCTCCCAGGAGCTGCACCCCCTCTGGGCGCGGCTGACCGTGGGGGCGCATGGCCGCCTGTGCGAGGGCCTGTGGGTGCAAGGCTGGTGCGGCGTGCGGGGCCGCCCCGTGCACCCTGGGCAGCATGCCACCCAGGGTGCGGAGCCCCCAGCGGCCGGCCCCCAGGCGCAGCTTGTTCCTGCAGCCGAGCCCGGGGTCCAGGGTCACCCGCCCATGGATGTGAGCTCCATGCAAACCACACGCAAAACTGCTCAAGGGGCAACCGGGTGTGATCGCGGTTCACAGAGCAGCAGCTGGGCAGCGTCCTGAGAACTGGCTGGGAAGGCGGGCTGCCCTCGCGGCCCAGCTCTGGGTCAGGCTGGGCGGGGAGGCCAGGTGTCTGTCCTCCATGGGCTCTGGGGGGGTGGGGGCGGGGCTTCCCCCTGCCCCCGGGAGCTCCCACATCAGCCAAACCCAACGCCCCTCCCACCGAGGTTCCCACCTACCCAGTGTCACAGCCAGGGTTTCCGAAGCCCGCCACAAACCAGCTGGCGAGGCCAGGCCTGTGGCCGCGCTCCCCGGGCAAGCCACCCCGGCCGTTTCTGGCAGACGACTTGCAGAGCTGCCCGCAGCTCCGTGCCTTTGGGGGAGTCGCCGCTGCCCTGGAAAGTGAGCTGCGTGTGCGCAGGTTCCAGCCAGGCGAGACCGGGCCCAGAGCTGGCGAAGGCTGGCGCGTCTGCCAGCCCCCAGCACTGGCCCCAAGGCCAGCCCTCCGCTGTGCTCGGTCCCGCTGTCCCCCGCTGCACAGCACAGGGAGCGTCACCATCCCCAGGCACAGGCAGCCGGAAGCCTGCCAGCTGGCATGCAGGGCCAGGAGGCGCCAGCGTCCCTTGCAGGGCTGGGCTGCGGCCCTCCCCATCGGCCTGGTCACCCACGGGCGGGCAGCTCTCCCCGTGGCCAAACCTAACAGCCGGGCTTGGGTCTCAGCTGCGTGCCCGCAGCAAGACCACGGACGCATGGTGACAGCAGGCGGTTTTGCCTGGCGTGGGACCCCCCAGTTTTCACTTCGAAGGGTGAGTCACCCGCTTTGCTGGAGCTCTGTATCTCACAGTGGAGTTGGGGGCAGAGGATGAGTAAGGGACCCAGCGTGGCCGGGAACTTCAGAGCGGCAGGCGATCTCAGCTGTCCGAAATCGGCCACCGCCCAGCCCCCAGAGGAACCCCCCAGGGGCGCCTAACTGGCATGGGTCTGGGCCGAACACCCGCGGGGACCCCCAGTCACTTTGGCTGCCTGGGGCCCGGGCCACGTTGGCTGCCCCCGCGCGGCAGGCACGCTCCGCTGGCCGGGGTGTGGGGGGCCCCCGCTGCCCGTCCTTCTGCCGCGAGGCCGCGACCTCTGTCCAGAGTCTGAGGGAGCTGGGAGGCAGGTGGCTGTCCAAACAAGCCCCTGACAGGTCGTAGCCCAGCTGACGGCGGGAGGACATCCTGAGGGGACCATGCTGGAGGGGTCGCCTCCGGGGGGTATTCATCTGGAGGGACAACTTCCAGGCGGCCCCCTCCTGGGGGCGTCCTCCAAGGACTTCTCCCAGGGCCGCTGTGCTGGGGGCATCTCGGGGCGGGTCTCTAGGGGGTGGGCGTCCTTCAGGGCAGGGCGTTCTCAGAGGGGAGAGCCCTGGGGGGGACCCTGGGGTGAGGGGGAACCCTCGGGGTGGGGGGACTCTCGGGGTGGGGGGACTCTCGGGGTGGGGGTCCTGGGGGCCGGGGACCCTCGGGGTGAGGAGGGCTAGGGGGGCTCTGGGGACACGGCCCGGGGGCTATGCTCGCTTCAGGGGCAGCCTCCCTGCGAGGGACCCCCGGGCGGCCTTTGGGGTCGCGGGGGGTCCCGCGGGGCCGCGTTCCGGGCGAGGGGAGAGAGATCCTCGGGTCGGCGGCCGCGCGCGCCCGCAGCCTCCGGCCACATCCTTCCGGGAGGGCGCCGCGGGCGGGCGGGGTCGGCGGCCCCGGGGACGCTGGACGCCCCGCCCCCGCGCTTCCTCCCGGGTTCGCGGTCGCTTCCGGCGGAGCGCGGGCCCCGCCGCCGCTCGAGCATGGACGACCCGGACCGCGACTCGACCTGGGAGGACGACGAGGAGGAAGGCGAGGGCCCGAGCGCCGCGGGCGACGGCGATGACGAGGCGGGCGCCCCGGGGGATGCGGAGGACGCGGACGAGGAGGAGGAGGAGGAGGAGGAGGAGGTGCGGCCCGGCGCCTCGCAGGTGCGGCCCCCGCGCCCCTGGGAGGCGGGCCCGGCCGCCGCGGCTCCCGGGGCAAACCGTCCCTTTTCTCGGGGCCGGAGACGGAGGCAACCCCTGGGCATGCGGCTCGGGGCCCAGCCCCCGCTCCGGCGGCCCCACCCCGGCCTTTGGCCCCCTGGAGCGCCCCCTCTGTCCGCGCGACGCCCTGAGGTCGCGCCGGCTCGGCGCCCCGGGACGGGATCCGCGCGGTGCCGGCGTTTCCTCCCAGGGAAGTCCCCGCGCCGCCGTGACCGCCCTGCCTCCGTCACGTCCGCCTCCAGGGCTGCGGCTCTGGGCTCTGGGTCCCGCATCTCAACCTCCTGGCGCCCCGCAAGGAGCGCCTCGCCCTGCTCCCCCTTTCCCAGGACTCCACTCTTCGCCCAGGCGGCCAGCCCCCGTCTGCGGTGCCCCTGCTGTTCCTCCCGGGGTGCGGCGGCCGCTTCCCCCTCGGCCCGGGGCTGGCCTTGCGCCCCCGTGCAGGTAGCCTTGGAGGCTGCATTAGGTGACCTGCCTGAGCCCCGGCCTGCCCACGGGTTGCCTCTGGTTACCGCTGGTTACTTGTTAGACCACTGGTTACTTTGTTGCCACCCGTTACTTGTCTTGCCCCTGGGTACTTGTTAGCAGGGATTACTTGCTGGCACTCAGGGGGCTGTGGGTGCCATTGTCCCAGCTGGGGCCCCAGGAGTTTTGGGGGCCTGGGACCCAGAATAGTGGCCGTCACACTGGGTCCCGGCCGCTTCTGGACCGTGTAGCGCTGACAGCACGTCTGGAGGACCGGGAGTGCGCCTGTGTGCTCTCCCGGGCGGGTTCCCCCGAGCAGGTGAGAGCGCTGGTTTTCAGGGCTCTCCCTCAGGGGCAGGACGGGGAGGGACCCCGAGAGGCTCCGGCGGGTGCGGCGAGGGGCAGGCGAGAGGACGCTGTCCTGCCGCAGGTGCCCGAGCACCCCGTGTCCGCTGCCACCCAGGGCGGGGGCGCCCTGACCTGCGGCCCCTTGCCCCGCCCCCAGGACCCCGTGCTGCTCCCAGCACCCGCTGGCCCAGGGGCAGGAGAAATAGAAACCGAGGGAGAAGTGGGACCGGCTTCTGCTGAGTTTCGGTTTTGCTCCCTGGCCCTTGGCCAGAAGGGGAAGGCGGAGCGGCCGGCCCCGGCGTGGAGGCCGGCAGAGGGCAGTTGCGGGCCCAGCCTGCCGCTCAGACAGGGGCCTGCGGTTGGGGACGGGTCGAGCCAGGGGACACAGCCAGAGGGTGCAGCCTTCTGACCTTCCCGCAGTGTGCTCCTCCCAGCTGCCCCCTCCGCGCGCCCCAGAGCTGCCTCTGTCTCGGCCCCTCGTCCTCACCCAGCCTCCAGCTCGGTCAGACGTGGGGCTCGGCCCCCCACCCCCTTCTCGGGACCCCAGCGTGCTTGGCCTGTGGATGCTTGGCCACAGGGCTACCGGGGATGGGGGGCAGCGAGGGGTCTCTGCCTTGGTGCGGGGAAGCTCCCAGCCCCACTCTGAAGGGGCTGTTGGCCCAGAAACACGGGGTCTGGTCACTGAACAGTGGGTTCGGGCCGGAAGGGACTGGAAGGGACCGGCTCCTGGGGCCTTGGACATTCATTCCTTCATCAGCCCCTGCGACAGGTGTTTGGGGCCCCTACCAGGGCCATAAGTGGGGACACAAGCCTGGTGACCGCTCAGAGCACAGCGCGAGGAGGAAGTACCAGGGGAGGGGGGCCCGCGAGCACGGGAGGAGGAAGGGAGGCTGGAGCTGGAGGCCCGCACCCGGGAGGGTTCGTGTGCGCCGGGGCGTCCTGAGGGGGGCCTCGCTCCAGCCACTCGGGGCCCCCCCAGCTTTGCTGACCTGGGGCACATGTCCCACCGCCCCTCCAGAATGCGGGCGCACGGGGTGGGTCCTGCCTGGTGGCCTCAGGGAGAGCGAGGGTCTCCCGGGGGGATCTCACGCCCCGCCTTCTCTCCCCAGTCTAGGACGACCGGGTTCCGGAACTGGCGAGCCATGCGGGACACACGCAGGTACCGCCACCACTACCCGGTACGTAGCCACCCCGGCGGGCGCCCTCGCACCTTTGAGCCCACCCGGGACCACCTCGGCACCCGGCCTCTGCGGGCCTCAGCGTCCTTGCCTTCCCAGGTGGCCACGGGGCCGGCTCTCGGCACATCCCCCGGCCCACACCGCCTGCCCCCCACAGCGGTCCCCTGTTGTCCGTGGCCCCTGCCCTCTGCACCCGAGTCTCAGGCGGCGGCAGCCCTGGGGCCGCCTCTGGGTGCAGATGAGGGGGCGTCCCAGCGCGGGCCCGCATTGGCGGGGAGGGGAGGAGGGGGTCAGAGGCGGATGCGGGCCCCACGGCCAGCGGCCGCTTGGCAGCCTTCAGGGCGGCGGGAGGTCTGTGGCCGAGAGCAGGCACCCGCCCGCCGCCCCCAGGACCGTCCAGTCAGGGGGCTCGGGAGGCGGCAGCAGGCGGCCTGTTTCTGCTTCCGACGACGTCCTGACCGGGATGCGCTCTGGCTCCTCAGGATCTGATCGAGCGGGACAGCAACGGCGACATGCCAAACCTGAGCTTCTACAGGAACGAGATCCCGTTCCTGCCCAATGGTGCGTGCCGCCTGCCCTTCCCCTCCCCCGCCGCAGGGACCTGGGCGGGGACTGAAGGCAGGGCCTGTGGCTCTCGGGCAGCCCCACAGCACCCCCTGGGGACCGCTGAGGGGACACCAGGGCCCAAGGTCTCCCGTCACAAGCTCTTGGTGCTCCTGCGGTAGCGGGAAAGCCACACGTGACTGCTAGGTGTGGATTTTACATTTTTAAATGGTGGGGGGAGATTTAAGGAAGAATAATGTTTTGTGACTTGAAAACGATATGAAATTCCAATTTCTGCGTCCGTGACTGGAGCGTTACGGGGACCCACGGTCTGCGGCTGTTGTCCCCGGGACGCAGCGGACGTGCCACGGGGCCGCCCAGCCTCAAACATTCGCTGCCTGGCCCTTTGCGAGGCAGCGGGCGCCCGGCGGGGGTGCAGGTGGCGGGCGGGGGGGGGGGGTGCTCCACCGCATGTTCTGTGTGAGGGTAGGGTTTTGCTCACAAGGCGCGGTGCGGGGAGCAGTGAGGACCCCTCCTGCAACGACGGGCAAGACCAGGAACACGGGCCCCGTCCTTGAGGGGCGTAGTTGTCTCTGGAGTCCCCCTGCGGTCAGCAGGGGGTCCCCGCTCCCAGACCGCAGGGGGGCTCGGGGGTGGAAATGCCACGAGAGGTGCAGCTCCCAGCTGCGCCGCCCTGAGGTCCTCAGCAGGGCGGGGGGAGCTCGGGGCTCCGAGGGGCTCCGCGCTGACGTGTCTCCACGGGGCTCCTAGGCTGTCTCATTGACACCATCCTTCAGGACTGGAAGGGCAACTATGACGTCCTGGAGGACAACCACTCCTACATCCAGTGGTGAGTGGGGGGCGGGGCCCCCGCAGCAGACGCATCAGGTCCTTTCCAAGGTGCTCACTGCAGGGCCCTGCCGGCCAGGGGCTGCGGGCGGCAGGCGTGGGCTCTTCAGCCCCGAGCAGGCTTGCTGCGGGCAGCCCCGTGAGCCCGAGGACGCCGGGCGCCGGCCTGTCCTGCGTGGCGGGGGGCGAGGCGTGGCTGGAGGCAGCCCCTTGGTGTTGCCCAGCAGACATCGCATCTGCGAGGACAGCTTGCAGAGGCCCCTCCTGGGCGCGGGAGCATCTGTGACCAGAGAAAAAGAACTGAGGACAAAAGGGGCAGCTGGCTGCCCTGGGTGGAAAGGCCGGTGCTGACCCTGGCCGCCGAGCACGCTTGCTGAGGCCCCGGGACCGCACGTGTGCCCGTCCTGGGCCCCGGTCTGTGACGCCCTCCCGGAGCTGTGCCCTCGCGCTCGGCTTTCCCGTGAGAGCCCGCGGCGTGTGCGCGTCCAGCCCTGGCCCGGGTTGAGTGGTGTGCCCGGCGGCGGGGGTCAGCCGCCCGGCCCGCCTGCGCCTGAGCAGCCTCTCCCCCCCGCAGGCTGTTCCCTCTGCGGGAGCCGGGGGTGAACTGGCACGCCAAGCCCCTCACGCTGCGGGAGATCCAGGTGAGCCTCGTGGGGGCGGTAGGCGGAAGCCCCCACACGCCCCGCCCCAGCTGCCTTCCCTCTGCGGTGGCCCTCGGCTCCACCCCCGGCACCCCCTGGGGCTGCCGGGGAGTTGGGCTCCGCTGCGGAGTCGGGGCAGGAGTGAGCCTTTCTCTCCCCGCCTGGGGCTGGCAGTGGGGCCGCAGCATCCCCGGAGCTGCTCCGGGAGGTCCCCGCGGGGCTAAAGCGACACGTCCGGCCCTGGCCGCTTTGTAGCAGCTCAGGGTCAAGAGGCCGTTAAGGGGACACGGCTCGGCTCCTTCACCCTGTCATTGCCCTGAGCACCTGTGTGGGGCGTCCGCTGGCCCGGCCCGAGGGAGGCGTGGGCCAGCCGCTTGTCTGTGTGCGGGGACGGCCCCTGAACCCTCCCCGGCTGCTTTCCAGGAGTTTAAAAGCTCCCAGGAGGCCCGGGAGCGGTTCGTGCAGGCCTACGAGCTCATGCTGGGCTTCTACGGGATCGAGCTGGAGGACCGCGACACCGGCCGGGTGCGCCGCGCACCCAACTACCAGAAGTGCTTCCGGAACCTCAACTGGTGAGGCCTGCCCCGCCCGCTGGCCAGCCCGCTGGGGCGAAGGAGGGAGGAGCGGGGCTGGGTTTCAGGCAGGGGTCCCGGAGCACGTCTGGGGATGGGGGCACATGGCTGAGGCTCTGTGCACCCTCCTCCTTGCTTGCAGGGTGGGGTGGGCCCTGCCTGATAGGGTGTGAAGGCCTAAAGAAGGGGCCACTGGTCGTGTGGCTTCTCAGCTGTGCCCGGCTACCCACTGGGCGGGTCCCAGGCACCGCCCGTCAGGCCTGTTGGGAAGCATGGGGTCAGTGGAGGCGCAGGGAGTGAATTTTCCCCATGGCACAAACTACAGAGGCCCCTCACTAGCCGCGCGGGGGCGGGGCGTGCTCCATGGGATCAAGGGGACAGTCCCCATTTAGAGGATAGAGGACGTGTCACCACCCCCTACCGCACGCTTCTGCAGGTGGGGTCGGGCAGGGCCGGGGGTGGGGGTGGGCCTGGGCTGAGAACCGCCCCCCCAGCGCCCTCTGCTTGCCCTCCCCCAGGCACAGCCACAACAACCTGCGCATCACGCGCATCCTCAAGTCGCTGGGCGAGCTGGGCCTGGAGCGCTACCAGGCGCCGCTAGTGCGCTTCTTCCTGGAGGAGACGCTGGTGCGCGGGCAGCTGCCGGGCGTGCGGCAGAGTGCGCTGGACTACTTTGTCTTCACTGTGCGCTGCCCGCGCCAGCGGCGCGCGCTGCTGCGCTTTGCCTGGGAGCACTTCCGGCCGCGGCGCAAGTTCGTCTGGGCGCCGCACGACAAGCTGCGGAGGCTCAGGCTGCGCTCCCCTCCGCGGCCACCCTCGCCAGCGGCCCCCAGCGACGCCGACGCGGAGGACAGCCCCCGGGATGCCCGCCTCGTGGCCGGCGCCTCTGGACCCGGGAGGGGCGAGGGTGGGGAGAGTGTGGCTGTCGGCCCCCCGCCGCCAAGCGCTGAGCCCCAGGAGGAGGAGGAGGCCCAGGAGCGGGACCAGGGAGAGGAGGCCCGGAGCCCCGGGGAGGAGGGACCCGAGCCTTCCAGCCCCAAGGAGAGCAAGAAGAGGAAGCTGGAGGCAAAGCGGCGGGAGCAGGCCCCTGGGGACGCAGGCCCCCAGAGCACCTCTGAGGTGGAGACGATCGCCCAGAACCTGGAGGGCTGTGCCCTCAGCCAGGGCAGCCTGGGCGCGGGGGCCCTGGGGGTGGGCAGCCAGGAGCCCGATGGGGACGAGCGGTCCCTTCCCCCACCCCCGGGGGCCAAGGCGTCCGACGACGAGGTGAGGAAGCGGAGGAAGGTGGACCAGACGCTGGCCCCTACCTGGCCCCCGGGTGGGCCAGGGCGCCCCGAGGCCACCGTGGGCGAGAATGGGGTGGAGGAGGCGGAGGGCGAGGGCGCGCTGGAGCGGGGCGCCCCCCAAAGCCCCCCTGAGCAGGGTGCCCCACGGAGCCCGGCCCCAGAAGAGCCTGCCTTGGACCCGAAGGCAGAGCCCGTGGAGGCGGGGCTGGCAGCTGAGCCCCAACCGCCTTAGGCAGTGGGACCCCAGCGGGCGTCCCGCCAGGCCCTGCACGGGGGGAACCACGTGGCCCGGGGCCTCCGCAGCCGCGGGAAGCACAGGACTCCAGGACCTTCACCTCACCTGCTCTGCTGCCTCTCTCCTTGGGGCACGGGCCCCTCCTTGTAAATTGACCCTTAAGTGTCTGGGGGTGGGAGTGGGGCTCGTTTTCTAAGTCTGGTGCCCAGGCCTTTTCTGAATAAACTCGTTTGACGTAGAGTGCTCTGGCGTGGGCAGCGGTCCTGGGGGGTGGCCGGGTGGGCTGGGACCGATTCCACGAGCCGCGCTGCTCTCCAGACGGGCTGTGCTGTGGCCCCCTCTGCCCACGTGTCACACGTGTGGGCGCAGACGCACCCCACGCAACGCACCCTGACCACACGGCCTCCCAGGGCCCTGGCGCTGGACGTGTGGTCCCTTGACCGCCTGTAGTCGCCGGTGCGGGAGCAGGTCTGGGGTCTTGGCACCTCCCTCCAGGCGGGCAGAGGGAAGGCCGCGCCGGAGGGTCCCAGGGCCTGCACCAGGCCTCCGCCGGCCCCGTTGGGGCGCAGCGGGGTGCTTCGGCAGCGTCCTCTGCGGCACTGTTCCTGCCTGCCAGCCACAGCTCCCGGCCCACCCTCCGTGGGAGGCTCAGTCTTCCAGGGCCCCGCGGCCCGTCCGGCCCTCCCCACAGGCGGGGCCGGCCCCCACCCCAGGCCAGGTCCCTTCTCTGCCTCACACGCTCTCCTCTGCACAAAAGGACGGGCTGCCGCGCTCCCGGGGCAGGTGGAGGGAGCGGGCGCCCATCTGGCTCCCTGTCCCTGAGAAGCGGCGGCGATCACCCCTGTTCCGGGAGGGGGGGCTGGGTGCGATGGGCACATGGCGGCCCTGGGGGGGAGGTGCTGGGTGCGCGCCCACCTGCACTGCCGTGGGGCCGGCGCCAATCTCGGTTTCCACCGCAGGGGAGAGCGGCACAGACGGGGGGTGGGGGGGGGCACGAGGCGTCCAACACTGGGTCTCCGGCCGTGCTCGTTCCTCAGGCGGAGCCTGTGCGGCTCCGGCGCAGATGGAGGAGCTTGAGGCCGGGCGGGGAGCCCCACGGGAGCCGCCCTGGGGGTGGGGCCTGGGGACAGACGCCACGACGGGCAGCTCCAGGGCACCGACCCCAAGCTTTGGCCCCTGTCCCCCAGCCCCAGGGCACTGCAGCTGCCTGGGCGTGGGTTTGCTGGGGCAGCGGGGCAGAGAGCCAAAGACCCGGTGGCGCCCCTCGTGGAGCTGTGGGGCCAGGCGGAAGGGACTGAAGGGTCACCTGGAGGGGACCAATCTTGCTCCCCAGGTCCTGGGGTGGGGTGCGGGCGGCTCCCCCAGCCCCCTGCGTCTCTGAGGTCATCCTACTTTGGCTCAGATTCTGCAGGAGCACAGGTGTTACCAGCTTCTGGGCTTTTCCCGGTAGAGTTCACACTCCTCCCTCCCACTTGAGGGCCTGAAGGGGCAGCTGCGCCCAGACCCTGGGGAAGCCTGCCCGGCACCTGGGGGCCAGGTGTGTCCCTGCGGCTCCCGGTTCCTTGGCTCTCCCACCGCCTCCTGCGTTCCTGCCCGAGGAAAGAGGCTGACGCAGCGGGTCCCGAGCCCCGGGGGCGGGCCTGTCGGTGCCGAACCTCGGAGAGGCCCCGGCCCTCCAGGCCCAGGCGCTGCCCCTCTCCCCAGGGCGGGGACCCCTGAGCTGCCCGAGGCCAGGAGAAACGAGGCGCCCAACGCCAGCCTGGGGCTCCTGTCCCTCGTGGTTTCTGCTCAGGCCCCAGGTGGCCCTCCCGCCCCCTCCACCGGGGCCACCGCTCTCTCAGGGTGAGGAATGCCAGGGTGCAGCCTGGCCTCTGCCTCCAGGGTGCACGTGTACGGACGGCCGGTACCGAGTTTGGGTCAGGCCCTGGGGTCCAGAGACTGAGCTGGCCCGAGACCTTCGCCGATGGCGGGGCCCATAGCAGGGGCCAGGGCCGTGGGGGGCCTGTCCGGGCCCTGGAGCACCGCGCTCCCCCTCTCTGGGGGTCTTCCTGGGCCATGGGCAGCCGGGGTCCCGCCCAGGGCCTGGGGAAGGGTAGGTGGCTTCCAGATCCCGCTTCTGGACGAAAGCTGCCCCTTCCCCACTAGGGCCCTTCAGCGCGGGGCTCTCCACCCCCGGGGGGAGGGGCCGGGGAGAAGAGAGCATCTTTCTTTCTCGCTAAAAGGTGTATGTGTCTAACTCACCAGCCGGGGATAATTTTAACTCAGGGGCCGGCCAGAAAAATGCCACTGGAGCTTCCTCCGCCCGGCCGGCTCGGCGGGAGCGCGGGCAGCGGAAGCCCCGCCCGCCCAGGTGGGCCCGCTGAATGGGGGGCTTGTGCGCAGCCGGAGGGGCGGGCGCTGGCGACCCGCCCGCCGCCCGCCCCGCCCGCCCGCCGAGCCCCGAGCCCAGCCCGGTCGCCGCCACCGGCGCCACTCAGAACGCATGCAGCCATGGCCCGAGCCCCAGCCCTGGTCCTGCTCCTGCTCGGGCAGCTCCTGGCCGGGACGCAGGTGGCCGAGGCGCAGGTGAGCACAGGGTTGCGGGGGACAGCGGGCCAGCAGGCGAGCCAGCGAGCGAACTCGAGACGCCGACGGTGCCGGGGTTTGCGCAGCCGCCCGGCTGAGCCCCCATGGACGCCGGGGCCGCCCCGGAGGAACCCAGGTGGCCGCCTGGCCGTCTCCAGGCGGGGGCCCAGCCACGCCAGGGCTGCCGCCGCCACGGAGACGCACAATGTCGCCTTTGTTCCCCGAGGCGCCCCGCGGGGCCGGCGGGACCCCCCCACCCCCGGCTGCCCCGATGAGGCAGCAGACGGGGTCTCCGAGGCCCCAGCGCCAGGCCCCAGCGCGGCTCGCCCTGGGGAGAAGGGACGCTCCGTCGGGCTGACCCGACAGCCAGCCGGGGGCCGGTCGACCTCGAGAGGAGGGATGGAGAGTCCCAGGTGCCTAATGACGTTTCTCCATTTCAGAAAATGGGACCGCGCGGCCCCCCTGGCCCCCAAGGGCCGCCTGGGAAGCCGGGCAAGGACGGCATTGATGTGAGTTCGGGGCGTGGGGAGGGCCCGGGAGGGTTCCAGCTTCGGACCCCGCAAGCCTCCCCAAACCCCCGGGCCTGATGGCAAGAAAACTAAGTCCCACCCCCCAGAGCTGGGTGACGTCAGGGTGATGCGCCTGCACCCTCGTGGGTGTGAGATGAGACAAAGACGACCCCTTGCGCAGCTGGGCCCACCCCGTGGGGTCGCATCCCCGGGAGGGGCTGGCAGCAGGGTGGTCCTTGCGCCCGCAGGTGGGCCCTGGGGTCCCGGGGCCCTGCACCCCTGTGTTCTGGGGGCCGTGCCAGGGCTGCTGGGGGCTGGAGCCAGCCTCGGAGGGGCCGGCCTGTGGGGCAGCCCCCACCAGTGCCCCGTGCCAGCCACGTGGAGGGGCAGCTGACGCCCAGCCGGCTGGCCCGCCCCCCCAGTCACCCCCACCGAAGGCAGGGCCCCCCCAAGGTGTCTCCTCACCAAGCCTCGCCCTCAACCTGGACCCCACACGTCTCCCACCGGGCGGGGCCCCTGGCACCCCAGGGCTCCCAGGCCAAGCCAGCGGGGCCTTCCGTCTGGCTGGGGCCGGGGCCGGGGCCGCCCCCTCTGCCCGGGTTGGGGCAGGGGGTCTCTGAGCCGCCCACCCCCCGCCCCCTGGCGGAAGCTTTCTAGGCCAGTGGCAGGCTAGGGCCTCAGACGCGTCCCCTTCCCCTTGTTTCTGGGGGCTGTGTCCCTGAGCCCTCAGGGTGACCGACCTCCCAGGGCCGGCCTATGCCCGGCCTGGGAGAAGGGAGGTGCCCCCCAGTGGGGACGAGGGGGTGAGGGGCTCCCATCTGGGGTGGGGCCTTCAGGGGCCTCCAGGTCACACAGGGCGTCTCCCCTCTGCAGGGAGAAGCTGGCCCCCCGGGCCTGCCCGGGCCCCCGGTGAGTGTCCCGGCTGCGGTGGGGGAGGGCAGGGCGGGCCTGAGACGGAGGGGTCATTGACACCGCTGCCCCTGCAGGGCGGCCGGGGGCGCCGGAGCGAGGGCCGCAGCAGGGGCTGAGCCGGGGCGGGGGCGCGGGGGGTCCAGGCCTCTGTGTGTCTGCAGGCTCTGGCTTCGGAGCTTCCGCTGGGCCAGGAACACAGCCCTGCAGGGCGGCCGGTCAGAGGGCCGCAGAGGGCCTGCCAGCCCCGAGCCGGCCAGGCTGCAGCGCCCAGGTGGGCGTCGTACAGACAAGACCGTGCGAGGGCACAGAGGAGAGGGGGGCCCTCCCGGGGCCGGCGGGAGTGGGCGGCACCCCCGCCGGGCAGGGTCTCGGGACACACACGGGGCTGCCCCCGACGCAGGGGCCCCTGTCGGATTGCGGGGTGGCGCCCCCGCCGGAAAACGCTCCACCGCTTCCTCACGCCTCGCCCTCCCCCCACAGGGACCGAAAGGGGCCACGGGGAAGCCGGGGAAGCCGGGAGAGGCCGGCCTGCCCGGGCTGCCGGGCGTGGACGTGAGTGTGCCTGCCTCCCCAGGGCCCCCCGCCCCCGAGGGCCCCTCCCCGCTCCCCGCCCGGCCTGGGGGGCTCCTCCCCAGCCCCCGGAGTGAGGGCTGACCACCCTCCTCCAGCCGGCCGGGCCCAGCAAGAGAGCCGCGTGCCCCGCGGGGCCCCCTTGGCCTTCATCCCAGAGTGCAGACCGGCAGAGCTGGCGGGGACAGAGCCTGCCCACCGCAGAGGTGGGGGCCCCGGCGCCGTCGCTGGTCTGGGGACGAATGCCCATCACCCAGCCCCGTGGGCCGGCCACCAGGGCTCGGGGCCTGGCCCCAGGGCCTCCGAGCTCCGAGAGACGGCAGGCGTCGGGACGTGCGCTCTCCCGCCGGCTGGGCCGGCTGAGCCCCTGGCACAGGCCCCCCACGGGCTGCCCGCTGTCCCCAGGGGCCCTGTGTGCCCCCCGCGAGAGAGAGGCGCCCGGCCGAGGTCCCCACGGCAGCTCTGGGCTCGGTTTAGTTAGGGAGGGGCCGTGGCCTGTCCTTCCTCTGCATGTGGGAGGGGCCGCCCCTTCCACGTGAGCCCTCGAGCTCTTCGCCTCCCTCCCCAGGGTCTGACCGGGCGGGAAGGACCACCTGGACCCAAGGGGGCCCCCGGAGAACGGGTGAGTGCCGGCGCCGCGGGAGGCGGCTTCCGTTGCAGGCAGGGACAGCGCCAGGTGGCCAGGCTGACGTCCCTCCGTCCATGGGCCGTGGCGCTGGGGGCAGCTGCCGTGACTGGGACAGTGTGGGCCGCCCTGCGGGGGGTGCAGGAGGGCGGGGACCCACCGGCGTGGTGCCCGCCCCGCCCCACCCCCAGCTCCGGCCAGAGCTGTCCTGGCGTCCAGACAGTGGAGGGGGAGGCTGACCCCACGTGCCCCTCCCCGGGTGGACCCCTCCCACCCTGTCTCTGTGCCCACCCGCGAGGCGCACGGCCATCTAGGTGGTGCCCTACGTCTGACCACCGTTTCCTGAAGCCACTTCCTGGCCAAGCAGAGCTCTTGGGGAAGACTCTCCAAGCCCACACGCTGTCCCCTTCCCCTTGCGAGCAGTGACCTCCTACCCCAGCCCCAAGACACGGGGGCACAGCCCTGCCGTCGGGGGCTCAGCTGCAGGCATGCTGGGGACAAGCGGCTGCTGTGGCCCGTGGGCCCTTTGGAGCCCGGGGGATGGGGGGAGGGGGAGGGGGGAGCCCCGGGCCTCCTGCGGGAGCCTCAGCTGGGTGGGGACACAGGAGGAGAGTGGCCTTAGGCCACGGACAGTGTCCTCAGGATGCCAGGCTACAGGGGGCCCGGGCCGGGCGGGCAGACAGTCTGAGTTCTGGGCTCCCTCCCATGGGCCCAGGTCTCAGTGGTCCCTGCAGCAGCTGATCTGGAGGGCTTCCTGGTGGAGGGGGCACAGGCCACCAGGGGGCCAGAGGTCCCCCCACGCCCAGGGCCTCTGTGCTCTGAACAATGGGGCCCCTCCTCGGAGGAGCTGCAGGGTAGATTGGGGGGCAGGTTTGCGAACAGGAGGGTGGCTGAGCCCAGCCCACCCCTGATGCCCCATTTCCTTCCGCAGGGAAGTCTGGGCCCCCCAGGGCCACCTGGGCTTGGGGTGAGTCCTGTCTCTCTCCCGGTGGGAGTTTGAGGGGCTAGAGGGTCTGCCGTCCTTCTGGGCCGGTCCTGGGCTCAGTCTGGGGGGGGTCCTCTTCCCCAGGGGGTGGGGGGCGGCGCTCTTACCCACACCCACTGGGCCGTCCTGTTCCCAGCAACTCTGACCCTGTGGTTGGCTTTGCAGGGCAAAGGCCTCCCCGGACCCCCCGTGAGTACCCTCGTGGACCCCTGAGCATGCACCCCCTCCCAGGGCCAGCCTGGCTTCTAGGGCCCAAACCGGGGCTGGGGCGGGGCCTCCGTGGGGGGCAGAGGCCTGGCCAGCCATCCAGGCCTCCGTCCCCTCTGTCCGCGAGGGTGGAGCAGCCCTGCGTGGGGGTCCAGGGCCCTTCGTGCCGACCCCACCCCCCTCTGTCCCCAGGGAGAGGCAGGAGTCAGCGGGCTCCCAGGCGGACTCGGCCTCCGGGGCCCCCCGGTGAGTGGCTCCCCCAGAACCTCCTGCTTCTGGGAGCGGGCGCCCTGCCCCCAGGACCCCCCGGGTTCCACCGCCAGGGGCTTCCCCAGCCTCTCCCCTCCCTCTCTTCTCTCCTCCCACCATTCCTTTCACGATGGACGCCTCCGGCTGACATCCAGGGACAGGGACAGTAGACAGAGCCAGGCCGGGCGGGGATGGAGCTGGGGCGGCCCCCACGGACGCAGTCCAAGCGGCTCCTCTCTGGCACTCGCTGGTGCCCCCGTCCGGCGGGGGCCGGTCCTGCTCCACCTAAGTCGTAACCCACCCCCCAGGGACCCTCTGGACTCCCAGGCCCGCCGGGCCCCCCCGGACCTCCAGGACCCCCTGTAAGTACAGGGCAGGGGGCTGCCAGCGTGGATGGCTCCCCTCCCCCGCCCTCAGCCCCCCGGACCCCCAGAATCCGTACTCACACCCACTCTCCAGACACACCGAGTCCAGGGCCAAAGCAGAGACTTGGGGGTGGTCAGGGTTCTGGCCCCGTGGCCACCCGCCCCCCAGGGCAGATGTTCTGTCACTGTCACCTGCCCTGGGGACACCAGGCCCTGGCCTCACGGGGCTGAGGGGCCCGAGTCCCCTGTGGTCCCCGGGGGGTGGCTGTGGGGAGGGGGGGAGCGGCGGGCAGGGTCACAGTCGGCCCTCTCTGTTCCAGGGCCACCCGGGGGTCCTCCCCGAAGGCGCGACGGACCTTCAGGTGGGCGTCCTTTGTGAGGGGGCCTGTCTCGGGGTGGGGGCGGGGGGCTCCGGCCCGATCCCGGACCTTGGGACCGCCTGGAGGCCGGCTTGTTCGTCCCCGCAGGGCGGGCAGGGACAGGTCTGGGCGCAGCCTCCCGCTCCGGCAGGGCCCACTCCGCCCCTGCCGCTGTCCCGCCGGCACAGGCCGCACCCAGCAGCGGGAAGCTGAACGAGGCACAGCCCAGTTGTCAGCAGTCCGGCTCCTGGGCTCAGCCACACGCCCAGGGTGCCGGGCTGCACACGGCCCGTGTCGGCGGCACCGGGCGCCGCCGACGGAATCGCAGAAGGTTCCGGACGAGAGTCTGGGGCTCCCTGTTTTCTTGGCCTTTGTGCTTCGTCACCTGTGTCCCCGAGTCGGGGGCGTCTTCCAGGATGGGGACAACGGCTGAGCCAAGGTCGACGGGCCCAGCTCTGCCGGGTCAGCGGTGGAATGATCTCGAGTCCTCAGCCCCCACCCCCGCCCCCTCCCGACGTGGAGCATCCAGTCTGTGCCCGAGGGACGCACGTCCCCTCCTAAAGCACGTCTGCGCATGAGAAGCCGCCTCCCCCGCAGCAGGGAGCGGGCTCGGATGAAGGCCCCTTTGTCCAGCCAGCAGACGCTCGCTGACCGCGCCACCGCGTCTGCACCGAGGCTGGGAAATCGGAGCCGGGCCGTGAGGAGGGGGCCGGGGGCCTGGCGGCCTTGGCCTGGCTCCCACAGAGCCTGCGGCGGCCCCAAATGAGGCCCTGTCTGGGCTCCCAGGAGGCCCCGGGTCTGACCACTCTGTTTTCCAACAGTGCCCAGCCGTCTGTCCGCCAGGGCCCCCTGGCCCCCCAGGAATGCCAGGGTTCAAGGTGAGTGGTGGCCACAGGGTGACTCAGCCTGCAGCTCACCTCTGTATACCCCAGGAGGCCGCCAGCCCCCACGTGGGCTGAGATGGGAGCAGATGGGGGACCAGCCAGGGGGGCTGGCCTCCCGCCCGGCCCGAGGGCCTTGCTCTGAGCCCCCTCCATCAACCCTGCCGTCGGCTGGGAGCTGGCCTGGGCTGGCCCCGAACCCCGCCCCTGCCCCGCTGCGCCCCCGCGACCGGCCTGTTCCCCGGGGGCCTTGGTTCGGGGCGGCTGGGGGTGCAGGTCAGGCTGAGACTCATCACCCCCGCTCTCAGGGACCCACTGGCTACAAAGGGGACCAAGGAGAAGTCGGCAAGGACGGCGAGAAGGTATGCGGCTGGCGGCGGGCTGCCCACTCGGGCGGTGGCAGCTGAGGGGCACTTGGCGGCGGCGGTGAGGAGAACAGGGCGGGGCGGCGGGGCGAGCGAAGGGCTCCAGCGGCACCGAGGGCACACCCGACGGCACGCGTTCCTGGCAGCCTGGCCGCCCAGGGCCGCGTGGTTAGGGACAGGGTCCCTGCCGAGGCCCCGCCCCAGCCAGCGCGGGTGGCCCCCGCTGGTGGCGGCTTCCGCAGGAAGTGTCCCCAGCAGTCTCTGCCACCCGCCTGTAGTCGCTGCCGAGGGTCTGCCCTTCCTCCCCCACAGGCCTGGGTGAGGCCGGGCGCCCTCCAGCGCGGCCGGAGTGGCCAGGCCCCAGTGTGGGCAGCAGGGGCCCTCCCCAGCCAGGAGACGTGGCCCTGCCTCGCTGGGGGAGGGGGCGGGGCCGGTGGGCGAGGGAGGGGCTGGGAGGGCTGGGGGCTGCCCTCCCCCCACCAGTGCTTTCCCCGCCTCCCTGCAGGGTGACCCCGGCCCCCCTGGGCCCCCCGGCCTCCCCGGCACAGTGGGGCTGCAGGTGAGTGGGGGGCAGGCTGGGCGGGGGTGAGGGTGCGGGATGGGAGCCCCTTGGGCCGCTCGGGCGTGGGGGACGGCCACCAACACCCACAACAGGGCCGGGGCCGGGGCTGGGGCCTGAGCTGAGGCTGCGGGCTTCTGGGGGAGCCACCGGGGTCCCCCCGTGGATCCTGGGGCAGGGCGGCCCCGGGCGCTGCATCTCCAGCTCTCCGCCCACAGGGCCCGCGGGGTCTCCGAGGACTGCCAGGGCTGCTCGGGCCTCCCGGGGACCGGGTGAGTCTGCCCGCCCCCGCCTGCCTGCATCGTGGGCACCTGTGGCCTGGCCCATCAGCTGGGGCCCCCCCACCTCTCCAGTGGCCGCAGCTGGGCCGTGGGGCCGGGCGAGGCGGTCTCCGGGCCTCCCTTCCCTCGCCCTCCCCAAAGCGGGGCTGTGAAGGCGCCCAGGGCCCGGGGGGATGGGGCGGGGCGGGCCTTGGCTGACGCAGGAGGGGGTCTCGGGACCACTGGGCGGCCGACCCAGGAGGGGCCTGCAGGGGCGCGGGTCAGGTGGGGCCTTCGAGGCAGGGCCCCTCCAGATGGAGTGAGGTGCTCTGCGGGCTCGGGCTTCGCAAGTGAGGCCAGGTGCCCCCCTTCTCCGCAGGGTCCCATCGGGTTCCGAGGACCCCCCGGGATCCCAGGAGGCCCTGGGAAAGCGGTACGTGGGGATCTGGGGGTGGAGGGCGGCCCTACAAGCTCCCTGTCCCCTCTCCTCTTGCTCCCGGAGACACCTGCCCAGCCCCAGCGGGCTGCGGGGGCCCCTCCCGTCCGGAGCCCACCTGTGGGCTACCGGGCAGAGCCCCCGGGGGCACCTGAGCAGGGGCCAAGGGCGTCCCGGGGGCAAGTCCACCCAGGAGCCCCTCTGTCCTCCAGGGGGCAGCCACGTGCAGGGCAGCACGTGGGGTGCAGGGCGCAGGTCCAGGGAAGACCTGCCTTCTTTCTCTTGCGGGCGTGGAGTGAGCTGTGGCGACGTCCCCCAGGCCCTGGGGACCCTCGGCAGCATCGGCCTCAAGCCTCTGAGCACTTCCGGGCCGACCCCCACCCCCCACACCTCAGCCCGGCTCTCCCACCTGCTTGTGTTGTGAGCTCTGTCCCTTGTCATTCCAGGGTGACAGAGGCGAGAGGGGCCCGGATGGGTTCCGTGGCCCCAAGGGCGACCTCGTAAGTAAGAGACCCATGCGTCCTCGGGTCCCTCCCCATGGGGGACCGGCCTGTGGGGATGGGGGACACCCGGACGGCACAGGGCGGGGGGCCGCCCCTTCCTGGCGATGAGGGGGTGAAGGGGCGGGTGAGCCACTGCAGCCCCGACGTGCACCCTCCAGAGGCCCGGGCAGCGGTGCTTGACCCCGAGCCACGGCTGCCGTGAGGGAAGATGGCGCAGAGCAAGTGACTCTGGGGTTAAGCCAACATAATGAAGCCGAGAGGTGATTAAGCCACTGGAGTGACCGTGCCCACACTGGCCTTTGCCTGCGGACGCCCCCAACAAACGGTTCTTTCCCTGGCCCGAGCCCAGCGGCCAGAGGCCAAGGGGCGGCTGTGCAGGGCCCGGCGGGCCGTCCCCGGGCTGAGCACAGCAGCCGGCCGGGAGCAGGAGAGGGACCAGGGAGGGACATCTCTCCAGGGTCCCAGCCGCAGCGGCGTTCCTGTCTTTTAGGGCAGACCGGGCCCCAAAGGAGCCCCCGGCGTGGCCGGGCCGGTCGGAGAGCCGGTGAGTCCTGCGGCTGCCACGGCGCAGACACGGTGCCACTGCCTCGCGGTTGCGCTTCCTGTCGCCTGCGCCTGTGTCCCTCGCTGGGCTTCGCGCTGCGCTGTCCTCCTCCGGAAACGCAGAACAGCGGCCCAACAGCCCCCCAACAGCCCCCTGTCCTCATGCCACGGGGCCACCGCCCCGGCCGGCGCCGGCTGAGGCTGTCACTCCAACTGGTCTGTGCGGGGCGGAACGTGGGGTACAGGGGGCTGGGTGGGAGCAGCCCACACTCAGCCCAGGCCCCTGGGCCCCTCCCCGCCCGCCCCGGAGGACGGGCCCTGGGGGTGGGGACACAGCGCTGAGGGCCGCGACGGGGCAAATGCTGCGGTCCAGCCGCCGAACTGGCTGGGCCCTCAGCTCCAAACAGTCCGAACTGTGGGGCCAGACAGGCCGGGCCCAAAGCCCGGCCCCCAAGCCTCAGTTTCCCCGCCTGTAGAACGGGACTCTCAGGGCCGTGAGGGGTCGGGGCAGAGGTGGAGGGTGGGCGGCACCTGGGGGCTCTGCGGGCAGCCCCAGGGTAACCCACAGCCACTGAGCCGTGAGGCCGGTTCGGGGCCGGTGGCTCAGGAGGCTGAGTCCGTGCGGGGACAGGACGCGCGCCACCTGAGCAGGTGGCCCAGAGGGCGATGGGGCCGGGAGGACACCGCCTGTCGGGCCTCACGCCCCCGCCTGTCCCCAGGGCATGCCAGGCAAGGACGGCCGGGACGGCGTGCCAGGGCTGGATGGCGAGAAGGTGCGTTCTCGCCGGCGGCCCGCAGGGGCGGGGTCTGCGGGGTCTGCGGGGGGCACCCCCCGGCCCAGCACCCCTCACACCCCCACCCCCCGCAGGGAGAGGCTGGCCGCAGCGGCGCCCCAGGAGAGAAGGGCCCCAACGGGCTGCCGGTGAGTGCGGTGGGGGCTCCCAGGGCAGGGCCGGCTCCCATGGATGCCTGGGTGGGGCCCGTGCGGGGGCTCTGCCTCCAGCCCGCGTTCTTCCGCGCGCATTCGGCAGCTCTGACCCCCGACCTCTGTGCCCTAGGGCCTCCCTGGAAGAGCAGGGGCCAAGGGTGAGAAGGGAGAGCTGGTAGGTGGCTTCTTTCTCCAGAGGGGAGGGAAGGGGCGGGCGGCCCAGGGTCCTGGGCCGAGGGGTGCGGGCGGGCGCTCAGGGCTCCCGTCCGTCCGTCCGTGCAGGGCCGAGCTGGAGAGCTGGGCGAGGCCGGCCCCTTAGGAGAGCCCGGCGTCCCGGTGAGTGCCCCCCGCCCCCACCCTGCCCCACCGCACCCGCGGGGCGCAGACCCCGCTGACCCCTCCCTCCCTGTGCAGGGAGACGTGGGCGTGCCCGGGGAGCGCGGCGAGGCCGGCCACAGGGGCTCCGCGGTGAGTGGGGACGGGCGTGGGGAGCGCGGGCGGGGAGGCGGCATGGAGCTGCTGCCACCCTGAGGCCCGGCTTCTGTGCGGGCCGGGGCACGACACCCCCGGTGAGGGCCAGGCCTGAGCGGTCCTGCCCGTGAGACCTCTGTGCTGAAGGGACAGAGCCTCGGGCCCCGTGGGCGCCGTGGAAGCTCCCACGCCATGTGTCCCTGCCTCAGATGGAGACCATGGGGACCCCAGCGAGCGCCCGGGGCCCTGGCCTTCGGGTCCGGGCACCGAGTCTGGCCGATGCATGAGCCAAGGGCGTGCCTGACCAGGCCTCCGGGACCCCCACCACCCGTAGGACACCCCCACCTCCCTGTAGGGCACCCCCACCTCTGACCCTTACAGCTGGGCCACAGGGCTGGGGACCAACCAGCTCCCGGGTCTGCCCGGCTCCCGGGGCGGCCGAGCTGCGCTCACACCCTCGTTCTGACCCTCAGGGGGCTCTTGGCCCGCAAGGCCCTCCCGGGGCTCCTGGCATCCGAGGCTTCCAGGTGGGTCGGGTCTGGGGCCCGGGTCTGGGCCCAGGGAGCTCCCGTGGGCCAGTGGGGGGCCAACCCTGTGGGGCCCCCTGGTGGGTGCTGACCAGCCGGCCTTCGTCTGCAGGGCGCCAAGGGCAACGTGGGGGACCCCGGCCTGCCAGGCCCCCAGGGCCTCCGCGGCGGCATGGGCGACCGGGTGAGTGGGCGCCCGGGCCAGCAGGGGTGTCCCGGGGACCGCGGGGGACGGGGTCACTCAGCACTGAAACGAGCGTGAAAACCAGCACTCTGGACCCGTGACCATCACTGCGTCTCACTTTCCGGACTTACCTCGTGGCCTCGTGACAGCCAGTGGGCTCGCTGTGGGGTCCCTGTCGTCCGGGACAGTGTGGGGGCACAGAGGCCCCAGCCGGTCGGCGGCCCCCGGGCCCGTGGGCGCCCTGGCGTCTTCCTCGGCCGCCCGCCCTGCGGTCGCACTCGGCGCGTGGGCCGTTCTCACGCGGCCGTCTGGGCAGAGGGGGGCCGTCTGTGGGTTACGTTTTAGCGTCCAGCCCGCCATTCCCAGACGCGCCCCTAATGTCCCCCTCCGCTGGGGAGGCCACCGCGATGCGCTCTCCACCCTCGGGCTCGGCGATCCCGGCGCTGGGGCGTCCGCCCAGGGCTGCGTGGGGTGACGGAAGCGAGACCCAGTCAGAGGCGCCTGCGAAACAGTCGTGCGACACTGCGGAGCCCCTAAGGGACAGGCAGTGCCGCGGGAAGACCCCGAGACGCCGAGGGGACAGGCGCACGGAGGGGTCACGCGTGGCAGCCTGGCCCTGGGCTGAGCGTCCAGGGAGGGCGCGCGCACCTTCAGTCCCGGCCCCTCTAACGCTGTGCCTTCTCTCCGCGCAGGGCCCGGAAGGAGCCACCGGCCCCAAGGGCGACCAGGTGGGCCGAGCGGCGGTGGGGCGGGGCGGCCTTCTCTCTCCCCTCCTCGTCTTTCTCCTTGGCTCTCACCTGCTCCTCCCTCCCTCCCGGTGGTGACGAGCACGCTGGGTCCCTCTCGGGGAGGGCGTGCCCCCTGCGGGCCCCGGGCAGGGCAGGTCTGCGTTTCACCTGCTTCTCCAGGCAGCCCAGGCCCTCCCATCCCAGCCGGGGAGCTGTCCGCGGCCACAGCCGGCGTCGGCCTGGTCCCGTGCCCCGGCCCCACCGAGGTCTGGGAACAGCGCGGACAGTTCCTTTAGCGTCTGGGTGTCGTTCCAGGGCATCGCCGGTTCCGACGGCCTTCCCGGGGACAAAGGCGAGCCGGTGAGTGTGACCGCGCCGACCTCGCTGTTGCAACAACCGGGCACAGGCCGGCCCGGTTCGGGGGCGTTCCCCGCGCGGGGAAGGGCCGCCTGCGGGTCCCGGGAAGGGGGAGCTGCGCCGCGTGTGCCATCCAGGTGGGGTCACGTGGCGGATTCACGGATGGTTTGACTTCATTTCGTCCCCGACTAGTAACATGCTAGGTGGCTCCTCGGCAACCACTTCCCCCCAAGTAACAACACGTGAGTCACTGAAATGCTCACCTTCTCTCCGCAGGGACCCAGCGGCCCCGTCGGCCCCAAAGGAGAGGTGAGTGGCTGCCACACGGCCTGACGACAGACTGCGAAGGGGCCCCCAGGCCACCCGGGGGGGGCTGCGCGTCGCAGATCCTCGCTCCCTGCGGGAGGCGGGTGCCAGCTGGGGGTGCTGCCCGGCCACGTGGCCCTGCTGTCTCCCCAGCCCGGCAGTCGAGGGGAGCCGGGCCCGAAAGGCATCCAGGGTCCCAACGGCACCAGCGGCGTGGAGGGCGTCCCGGGCTCCCCCGGGCCCGTGGGCCTCCAGGGCGTGCAAGGCGTGCCTGGCATCACCGGGAAGCCCGGAGTCCCGGTACGTTTCCCTCCTTTCAGAGCGTGACAGTCGGGGGCCCTCAGCGCGGGACCAGCACGTGGCCCGCGTGCTGACCGACTTCGGGGTGAATTTCAGGGGAAAGAGGCCAGTGAGCAGCACATCCGGGAGCTGTGCGGGGGCATGATCAGCGGTGAGCGATCCGCCCGCCCCCGCCCCCGCCCCCGCCCCCACGGTCCTGGGGCGTCCGGGCCACACGCGGGCCCCAAGCACAGGGTCCCGTCACGCCCGGCACGTGGGGATGTCCCGGGTGTCCACTGAGCAGTTACAAGGGACGCACAACTGTGCCCCTTCGGCTTTGGCGGACCAAGTGGACATCTCTGGCCACTCTGAGACCGCGTTTCTGGCAACTTGTCCCAAAAACAAGAGTCCCCTGTGCAGCCTGTGATTTACCCCTCGGCGCGCGGAGGAGATGGGACGGCAATTGTGCCGGGTCCCCGAGGCACCAAAGCCGTTTCCGGTCCATAAGCTCCCTTTCGGGAAGGCAGGGCCGGTGTCCCCGCCTCGCACAGGGCACTCCTGGTCATCCTCTTCGACTGACCGCTTGTGTCTTTGTTTCCGAAGAACAAATCGCACAGCTGGCTGCTCAGCTGAGGAAGCCGTTAGCGCCAGGAGCCATCGGTCGGCCCGGACCTGCGGGCCCCCCGGGCCCCCCCGGGCCCCCGGGTTCCATTGGTCACCCCGGCGCTCGGGGGCCGCCTGGATATCGTGGCCCCACCGGAGAGCTGGGAGACCCCGGACCCAGAGGTGAGAACAGGGGGCCCCACCACAGCCAGGCGAGGAACCCCACACGCGCCACCGCCCACTCCCCTCTGCGGGGATGAGGGAGGGGAGGGGCCCCAAGGGAACGCGGGCCCTGGCCTGGCCGGTGTCCCCCACACGGCCGCCTGAGGCTCTGCGGGCGGCGCCTTCCCGAGGAGCCGCCTCGGGCCCAGCCCAGCCACTTCCCCGCCCGCCCTGCAGGCCCTATGCCGTTTAAAACGCGATGTTCTTCTCAAACACCGCCAGAGCCACACCTGGCGGACGAGTACGCAGGCCCCTTTAGGGAAACGCAAATGCTGCCGTGGGAAAAGCCGGAGTCCAAAAACTCCACATCCACGGACAGAGAATGAGGGGGCGTAACTTAGGAAGGAGACGGAACCCCCCGGCGGCCCCATGCGGTGGCCTGTCGCACACACACACCGCAGGGCGTGCGGGGCCGCAGACCGTGCTGGATGCCAACCTGTTCCCAAGTGCCTTTAGCACTGAGCTCGCCGTAAGACGCAGAGTCTGCCAGCGCGGGGGCCGGCAGCGCACGACTCCCACGCGCTCCGCCTTCTGACCCCACGGTTTTGTTCTAAAAGAGCTGGGACGCTGCGCAATTCAGCCCTGGGGGGCGGACGTCCGGGGCGACGCTGGGCCTCTGCGAAGGCTCCGACCCCTGCGCGTGAGCGGCGTGGCTGGCCCCCGGCCCCGCTGTCTGCCCGGCGTCCCTGTAGCAGCCGGAGGCCCCCCTTACCCGGGACGTGGTTCCAGAACGGGCTGCGCCTCTCAGCTCACACTCGGCGACACAGGGCACAGAGGCCAAGGCCGGCGGGGGCAGGTGGCTGGGACCACACACGACCGGGGAAACGTTTAAAAACAGCGCGGCAGAACTCGTGGGCTCGAAGCCACATGGGAAGCAGGGACACGCTCGGTGGCGTGACAGGCCTGCATGTTTCTGAACAGAACTGAGATGCGGCGACAGGCGGCCGCTGGGACGCGGGGGTCGCGCGCTGGCTTCCCGTGTCCCGTGTCGGGGCCCCGCAGGAGCGGCGTGGGCCGGCCACGCAGGCCACGGCGGTGAAGAGCTGGGCGCCGGGAGCCTGGCGGCCCACGACACCGCCCCCAGCCCCTGAACCCGCGCTTCTCCATTCCCCCCGACAGGGCAGCCAGGTGACAGAGGGGACAAGGGCGCGGCCGGCGTGGGCCTGGACGGGCCCGACGGGGACCAGGGGCTGCCAGGTACGAGGCCGCTGCCACCGCCCGCTCTGTCTCGCATGCCTCCCCCACCCCCGGGCCTCCCCTGGGTGGGTAACGCGCACCCCACGGCGGTGACCCGCTCGGCAAATCCAGTTACATTCGATTTAACTAGCGCCATCTGGTATCCACATCAGTTAAATTCTAACAGAATCTTCTCCTCGTTGACCCGGAAGTGCCCTGAATGTTTAAATTTCAATGTCAACCTAAGTGCTGTCCCCAGTTCAAAGGCCAGCCCTGCCACGTCCCACCCCAGCCTTCTGGGGGCCGGGACTCGCTCCACGCCCACCCCCCCTGCGCCTTGAGCCACAGCCCGGCTCCAGGGCCCCGCCCAGGTGGGGGTGCACTGCTGGCCCCCCGCCCCGTGCATCCCCCCATCCCCACCACGTCCCCCCCACCCCCGTTCACCCAGATGCATTCTCCCCACCCCACCAATTCACTCGAGTCTGAGCCGCGACCCTCGGGACAAAACCAGACCCTGTGGACACCTTGCCCGGCGCTTCTCCCGGGGCCAGAGACAAGCCAGGAGCACAGAGGCGGGGTGGCTGCCGGCCGGGCCCCGGCGTCCACTCACCTCCCTCATCTGTCTCAAGGACCGCAAGGCGTGCCTGGCGTCGGCAAAGACGGCCAAGACGGGGCCCACGGTGAGCCCGGGCCGCCCGGAGACCCCGGCCTTCCCGGCGCTGTCGGCGCCCAGGGGACCCCCGGCATCTGCGACACCTCGGCCTGCCAGGGGGCCGTGATGGCCGACGGGGAGAAGTCGGGTCCCAGGAGCTCCTAGAACGCAGCCCAGGCAAGGGGAGCGGTGCCGACGGAGGCGGCGGGCTCTGGGGCGACCGCCGGGCTCGGCAGCGCCCGGGCCTACAGCGAGGACCGCCCGCCGAGGATGACCCGCTGTGCCGACACCCTGCTCAGCCTCGCTGGCCCGCCCCCGGCCCCCAGCCCCCGGCCCCGCAGTGGCAGCAGCTGGACACCTGTTCCCGAGCGTCCTTCCCCGGCTGCTGGGAGGGTGACCTCCTCGGGGGTCCACGGGGGCCTGTCCGGCGGCGGCTCTGGACCTCAGGCGCAGCAGCGCCCGGAGGCCAAGAGAAAGATCAGCAGCTTGTTTACGTGGCATTCGTGTAAAGACTTAGGTAGGACCCCAATAAAACGATACATGAAACCCTCAGATGCATGGCCGCCTGCGTGTGGCAGCAAAAATGAAGGGCTCCCGGCCAGCACCCCCCGCGCCCCGGTCTGGCCTGGCCCCCCTTACGGACTTCAAACTGCTTCCGACCGGCTTCCAACCAGCAGTATTTATTGAAGGTGACGTTGCATTGCACTAACCCTGTCGGTATTACCTGTCGGCGTAAATAAAGCCACTCGTTTGAACAACTCAGTTCTGAACACTATAGTTTATTACATGGAAAATAATGGCTCTCGGCACGGAGGCGGGCTCCGCGAAGCGACCCCGGACAGTATCTCTTCCGCGGACGGAGGGGCTTCGGCGGGCGGGCCTGGGCGTCCCAGGCCGGAGGCGGGGACAGGGCCGCGCTCCGCAACGCCGTCTGTGCGCCCAGGGGTCGTTACAAGGGGAGGCGATAAACAAATGAAATAAATTTCCAAACTACTTCTAGTGAAGAACATTTTGACTTGTTCCAATTGCTAAGGGGGCACATTTAAATGTCAATAAAATAAGTAAAAGCAATGTACCTTGTAAGACTAAAGAAATTATGAAGGATGTTAATTCTTTAGTTATCATGTTAAGAAAACATGATGGAATCAGACAGATAATTGAAAAAGTACTTACTAATTGCCAAGGTGTCTTCATCCCCAATGGTCTAAGAGGACATTAATGGACAGATACTCTGTTTTAGATAAATACTTTCACACAATGTGCTTTCAAAGTCCCCCCTGGAGTCCCACTGGAGCCGTGCCCTCGAGAGTTGGTGGCCGGCGGGGGCCCCAGGGCTGCGGGCTTGCGGGGCGCGGGGGGCTGCGCGCTTCCCAGGAACCAGTGTCCCCTCGGGTCACTTGATCTCCACGGCGGGGCTGCTCTGTAGACTCTCCTGCGCGGGGCCTGTCACCAGCGAGTCTGGTCTGGTCAACTTTAGTCTCCTGCCAGTTTTCCCGCAAAACACACTCTCAAATTCCTAAAGATGAGAAAAGTGCACCGACTCAACACGGGAACTGCCGCCTTCAAAAACACGGAAGGCAGAAATTCAGAGCCGACCCACGTCCGCACGCCCAGCTGCCCCGGGGTGCCCCACGCCGGCTCCCACCCCTTCCCAGGAGGGGTCTGTGCTAAAAACAGTCAAACGTTGTTCTCACATAGTTACAGTCACAGGCATTTTTACTTTGTTTTCCAACAGCTTCTCAAAATGCCTGGCCAGGCTGTAAAGCCATCTTATATTTTACTGATTTTATTTTTTAGAGAAACAGACTGGTTGCTCCACTTAATCGATGCACCGTTGGCTGCTTCTTGTATGTGCCCTGCCTGGGGATCAAACCCGCAACCTTGGCCCATCGGGGTGACGCTCTAACCAACTGCGCCACCTGGCCAGGGCAGAATTCACCTTTTAAAGTCACTAAACAGGAGTCAGAAGCAAGCCAGCCCGTTCTCAGACAGAAGCCAGCCGGCGGGGAGGCTTCCAACGCCGCCCGCACATGCGAGGCCAGCCCGGGCGCCGCCTTTGTTTCTGGTACTTGGCCAGAGGGGGCCCAGCTGTGGGGCCCAGCTGTAGCTCCACCTGGACCCTCTCGGTCCCGGGGCCAAGGCCCTGGGCGCTGGGGGGTGACCGCGACACAGGGAGACGTGGGCCCCCCCAACCCCTCAGCCGAGCTGGTGGTCAGCTAGTCGTTCTCGTTCAACTCCCTCAATCAGCGTCTGTTTTAAATAATCGGTGAAAAACCTGAGTTCTCAGAGGTTTTCACAATTTATCAAAACACCTCGACACAGCCTGGCCGGCGCTGGCATCCCGTTAGGTCTGCGCACAGGACGCCGACAACCGGCGCTGTGCTCCTCAGTGGGGGAGCACGCGGGGCCCCATGACACGCGCGTCGGGAAATGACACCAGCGTTACGACGAGGCTGCGCTGGCGCCAGCGCAGAGACAAAGGGTTCAAGCCACGGCGGACGAGGGTCTTCGAGACAACAGCCACGTGAAGTGGACGGAACGTGGACCTCACAGAGCTCTGAACGGGGAGGCACATCCAGAGCAAACACAAGGCGGTGTCCAGTCCGACCGCCAGAGGGGACAGGTTTGAGCCACGACTCATGACCTCGACCTAACAAACACGGGCTTCACCAAATGAAAGACGCGCGTCCTCGCCACACGAACACGCAGCTGCGCGGAGCTGACCCCGCAAGAGCCCTCGGTGGAGTCGCGATGAACTTTGCAAGACGGCTCTTCCCGCGGCCTGTCTCCCCCCATCACGGCGTGAGCAGCAGACGAAGGACAGAAGTCCCCACGTCTGGGGACAACGAAAAGCCGCCTCCAGGGAGCGAGGCGAGGCTGGGAGAGGGGAGCTGTGCGGAGACAGGCAGCCCCGCCCCACGCGGTCGGGGGCGGGGGGCTTCCCCGGGAGCGGCGAGAGCAGGCTGCCGGGGCTCACGAGCAGGACAAGGGTGCCGATCACCGAAGTGAGCTTGCAACTCAAGGCACCGGGAAAATCAAACTTAGAAAGGAAAACGGGAAAAAGGAAAAGGTTTAAAAACAATGAACACAAGAGCGAGTTAGGAGAGAACGCAGTTGCACGGGCTCCCCCGTCCCCAGCGCGGAGGGCGGGCAGGCCTGCGAGCCCCGCGGAGCCCGCGGGGTGGGGGGGGCGGGGGACGGGGGAACGATGAACGAACAAGGGAGGGGCGCGCTCGTCAGGACAGAGCTGCCACGTGGCCCCCGGGAGGGTCTGCGCACACGTGCCCTCCCACCGCGCCAGGCGACCGCCCTCCTGCCCTGGGAGCCGGGGGTCCCGTCGGAGGGGTTGGGGGGTCGTGTGCACCCACTGACCACGGGACCAGTGGACCCTGCACATGACCGGTGACCCCCGGCTGCCCCACCTGGACGTGGGTGAATGGGGGGTGCCCTCCCTGGGGGGAGGAGAGGAGGTGCCGGGGAGAGCGGGGGCGCCAGGCAGGGCCTGGCCTGGCGGCTGGCAGCGGAGGCCAAGGCCAGCACGGTCCCCTCTGACCCCCGCCGGCTAAACAGGCGCCGGCGGTCAGCGGCTGCTGGAGACGGGAGACGGGCCAGGCAGCTCCCCAAGCAGCGTGGCTGACGCAGCACGCGGGTGGGCAGGTGCTGGCAGGGGACCCCGGCGCCGGTCCTCACGGGGGAGCGACTATGGGACACGCGGCAGCACCTTTGCACCTGACAGCCGGGCGGGCGCCGAAGGGAAGTGGACACCGGGCAGAGCCGCCCCGCCCCCAGCTTCAGGGGGACCGGAGGGAGGCACAGCCCTGCTGCCGTCCCACCGCGGCGCCGTGCGCCCGTGACGCTGGCCCGTGACACCCCCGGGACCACAGGCCGAGCGGGAGCGCTGCCCGAGCGAGGTCACGGTCAGCACCCAATGCCCTGCCTCGGACCCTGGGCTCCAGTCGCACTGACACAGAGGCGCCAGGGGCAGAGGCGTCGCGCCTGCATCCACTGTCAAATGGGTCGGGAACACAGAGACGCTGTGCAGGACGGGGCAAGTGGGGTGACCCCTCAGCCTCCGTGGCCCCAGGGGAGGCCGGGAGGGCACACGAGGGGCTCGCAGTCCCGCCCCTGTCGCTGCCCCTAGTCGGCGCGCGCGACCCTGGTCGACGGCCGCACCTGGTGCCGGCAGGTCGGAAACAGCGCGGGTCCCGCCGACCACCGCGCCTGCCTGTCCAGCGGGGGCTGAGCAGGAAGCCCGGGCGCCCCACGCCCCACCCTGACCGGGGTTCCGCCTTCACTCCCGCCCCAGCCTCTCCCTCCCGCAGCCCTGGCTCCCCGCACAGCAAAGCATCCACCAGGTCAACCAGACTGTGCCGCTCGGCCTGACCCCTCCGACGCCCGCCGCCGCAGGGCCCCCGCGGCCACGCCGCCTCCTCCAGACACTGGGGACAGCTGCCCGCAGGCCAGCGGAGTCTCTGCCTCATTCCAAGTGCCGGGGTGGCCACAAAGTTCATTTAGTTTTTCCGTAAAACGGGAGATGCCCTTTCCGTTTCACCGAGAGCCTTTTTGATTTGGATTTGTGAGTAGGTCGGCTCTCCCCCGCGCGGTAGAACATTGACTTGTCAATTAACGTCTCAGTGTGATCCCTGTCGACCTCAACGGGCCTGTCCAACCAAGGAGCGCGGCCCAGCGAGCAACCTCCAGCGTGAAACCTCGCAGACACGCGCCGTCAGCCACAGCGCCTTCTCCACGCACCGCACAAATGTTTTTGCATTTTTATGTTTCTTGAAATAATAAAGCATAATATGCTGAAAACTGCTGTTTTCTTCCAACTTCAATATTAAAATGGCTACACAAAAGTTCACCCACTTCCATGCTTTCTTTTCAAATGTAGCCAAATTGACAGCTGTCACAATACAATCTAACGAAATTGTTTCAAATGAAGTCATAAAGACACTAAGCGCTACCAGAGCCGCTGTAGGGAAAAAACCAAACCAACCTTTTGGCCAACCCAACGCGCCTGCCCAGAGCCGGTCGGAGCAGGCAGGGCTCACGGGGAAAACCAGACACGAAAGTACCGCGGGAAAAGCACTGCAGCCTCACGCGACGTATTCGAACAACAACATTCAGGCCAGTGAGGGGGGAGTGACCGAGAGCGAGCGACGCCC